CCTAAACTCAAACCCTAAACCCTAACGCAAACCCGTAAACCCTAAACGAACACAGGGCCGAAACCCTAAACCCTAAAACCCTTAAGCCCTAAACCCTAAACGGACACAGGGCCCAAGCCCTTTTCCGAGCCGGAGACCCGACTCATCCGAGCAGCCGGGGCGCCCAAAGGGTGTTTGGTATCAGGGTTTTAGGGTATTAGGCTTTAGGGTTTAGGGTATTAGGGTTTAGGGCTTAGGGTTTTAGGGTTTAGGGTTTCGGGTTTTAGGGTTTAGGATTTTAGGGTTTTAGGGTTTAGGGTTGAGGAGTTAGGGTTTAAGGTGTTAGGGTATAGGTTTAGTGAGGGTTTAACGCTTCAGGGTTTAGGTTTAGGGCTTCGTATCAAAGTATAGACCTACTGACCCGATAATCAGGTGCTGCAAAGGGTTCCACATTGGATTTATAGAGGTTTAGGTTTCAGGGTCGCAGAGATGAAGTCTTAGTATCAAAATATAGGTCTTCGTGGACGTATGGGTTTGGGGTTTAGGGTTTAGGGTTAAACCCTAAACCCTAAACCCTAAACCCTAAACCCTAAACCCTAAACCCTAAACCCTAAACCGTTGACGTATTGAGTAGGTACTCGAACGGCTCCACCAAGGGATTTTCGCAAGGGCCGCGACGAGCCTAACGGATCCAACAACAATTGGGTGGTTGGGTTTAGGACAGTAGTAATCGGTTTAGGGTTTAGGGTTTAGGGTTTAGGGGTTTGGGTTTAGGGTTTAGGGTTTAGGAACGTCCCTTAACCTACCAAAACCTACTTTTCTGTAGGGTTCCTATAAATTCCGTACTAGGGTCTAGAAAAAGAACCTGCAAAAAGTAGGGCTTGGTAGTTTAAGGTAGGTATTTGAGTGGGGGGGGGGGGTGGGGGCACAGCATCATCAACGAGGCACTCGGACCTTTAGGGTAAGTTCAAGGGTTTACTCAGAAGAACCCATGGCACCTTTTTTCAAAAGGTTGCAGAATGTAGAGTTTCAGGTGTAGGTAGGCGCATGAGCAGCCTAATTGGCTGGGTCGTATGCGCTATAAGCTACGAGGTATAGCCTAAACTCTAAACCCTAAACCCTAAGCCCTAAACCTGGAGCCCAGGCCGTGTCGGAGTACGACCCAACGACGTTCCTCACGGTGCACAGCGGGACCTTGGGAGCCTCGGCTCTCTTTTAGGGTTTAGGGAAGAGGGTTTAGGGAAGAGGGTTTAGGGTTTAGGGAAGAGGGTTTAGGGTTTAGGGTTTAGGGTTTAGGGTTTAGGGTTTCGGGTTTAGGGTTTCGGGGTTTAGGGTTTAGGGTTTAGGTTTAGGTCTAGACCCGGCAGTCACCCGCAGTCTGCC